AACAAGATTTTGTAAGCTTTCATGTGTCTCCTCTGATTTTTTAATTAAAGATCTTGCCTTCTCCATATGCATTCAATCAGTCCTCTATTCTCTATTCAAGTCCTTAGCTTTTTTGAAGCACCAAATCACTCCTGAAACATCCAATTATCAATTAAAATATAAATAATCAATGAACTCAAAATTTTTCCTAGACATGGAAAACAAAACAGTCTAAGTTTATGGCTACAAAGGGAAAGAACATGCAGCTTCAAATCTTGTAAAAAAAAAATAACAAACATTTAGTTTTGCTAAAATTCTGAGAACATAGCTGATATTGTTTTCTTTTTATGAGGACATAGTTCCAGTTCAGAGGTTCCAAAAAATGTTTTGTTTGTTTAGTAAATCATTCCATGGCTTTCTTTAAACTTGTTATATCTCATGCAAGATATAATAAACAAAGTAAAACCAGTGTGGTTTTCAATAATAATTTTATAATCGGATGTAGGTTTGTCAAAATACAGAGACAGAGTCGGAGTAAGCTAACCTCAATGGATGTTAACAAACGAAGACCTTTTTTTCTACTGTTTACTGTGGTCGTATTTTTTATCGGCAACCAGTCCGTCCATTATCGTGAATGGGGAAGTTGGGTTATCTCATCAAAACACCTTTCCCCAAAGCTGAAATTTTCCTTTTGAAAATTTCTGCTTCTAATGTCGCCTTTTTTTGGATCCGGACTAAAATGCTCCACTGGTTTTCTTTCCTGTGTGCTCCTTCTTTTAGTCGTCACAATTAGATACTTTTTTAGCAAAGATAATTTCCGCTTTTCAGCCCGTAAGGCTGGTCCATGAGATACAGGTTCAAATACACTATTGGGTAGTGTCATGTTAAAAGCATCGCATAACACTTCCATCGGAATTTCTTCTTCGCTTTTTTCACTTTCTTCATCATATCGTGGTCTAATCTGATTGATGTATCTTTTACACATAAATTTTTTACTTTTAATCATGTAAACCACTTTACCAATCCTTTTCTGGATTATGCCATCCATCCAATAGCTTTTTCCACTTTTAAAATTTAAAAAAAACTTTGTCTCCTGAAGTGTATTTTTTTATGTTGACTTTTCCTCTTTCTTAGCAACTTTTTTGTTTTGATAGGGTAACAATCTATCGAAAATTGATCTAATTTTCCTTAAGTACATAATTTCCAACAGTGACATTTTCGCATCGTTGTTCTCATTAGGAGTTACCCTATAGATTGCTAAGAACTTTTGAATAGTTCTTTCTTCCGTGTCCATACTTTATTTTTACGTAAAAAGCACGTTTAAAAGTGTCAACAAATTTCTCGGCTTGACCATTCGACCTGGGATGACACACTGGTGTAGTTATGTGTTCAATGTCTAAGGCAATACAGAAATCCTTAAATTCCATACTTGTGAACGCCGCACCATTGTCACTAACCAATGTTCTGGGAACCCCAAAACAACTGAAAATTTCATCCAATGCACTGATGGTGTTCCTAGATGTAGGATGCTTGCACTTGACTACCTCAGGCCATTTCAATAAAGAGTCCACCAATATCAAATAATAGTGCCCATTAATTGGTCCAGCATAGTCTATATGTAGACGTGCCCACAGCAAATCCGTTTTCGCCAAGGATTCATTTTGACCAGAGGTGCCCTTGCAGCCAATTGACAACCTCTACATAGTCTTACAAAACCTTCAATATCCTTGTCCATTCCTGGCCAGTATACGTAACCACGCATGAGTGATTTCATCCGAGACATTCCAGGATGACCAGTATGAAATTCTTTCAGCATATCTGTAATGTAGAGATTGAGGTATAACAATTCTATCTGCGTACATCAACGTGTTGTCAAAATTGAAAAAGGTGAAATCTGAGTTCCTTTTTCTGTCTTTTTTATTCCATCTCGTTTGGTTCCTTAATTTCACAATATAGTGATCTTTTTCCGCTTCTTTTTTTTATTTGGTCCAAAGTTACCGGCAATTCCCTGATTGTATTCAACAAGAGACCTGATATTTCTTTTTCCTCAGTTAATGCTGCTATAACTGTCTCTTCTAACATTTCTTCATTTTTGAATCAGCCTTGACAATCCATCCGCATGCCCATGTTCTTTAGATTTGACGTATTCCATCCTAAAATGGTAATTAAGCAGGGTTACATCCCATCGCCATAAGCGATTAGCTGTATCGCGAGGGAATGCCTTTTTACCTCCAAATATTGTAAGTAACGGTTTATGGTCCGTTTGAAGTACAAATGATCTACCATGTAAAAAGCGATGGTATTTTTTTTAACCTCGAACACAATCGACAAAGCCTCTTTCTCGATCTGGCTATAATTTTTTTCAGCCGGAAGAAGAGTCCTTGACACGTGCGCGATCAGTTTAGTAGTGCCATCTTCATATTTGTGTAGCAGTGCAGCACCCACTCCATACAAACTTGCGTCAGTTGCCAGAATGATCTCTTTCTCAGGATCATAATGTGCTAAGGTGAGATCTGAGAGTAGGCATTTTTTTTTTTTTCTGAAAAGCCATCTCGCAATCTTTTGACCAAACCATTTCTTGTCTTTTTTTTTAACAATTTGTTAAGGGGGCTCTTAAATCATACATTTTAGGTATGTAGATTGCATAATATTGTGCAAACCCCAGAAACGATTGTAGTTTCTCAAGAACTGTGTCAGGTGCAGGCATGTTCTTAATTGCATCGGCTCTCTGTGGGTCCGGTTTCCTGCCTTCACTGTCTATTAACTGTCCGAGGTATGTAATTCTTTCCATGAAGAATTTACACTTCTCGTGGCTTAATTTAAAACCAAAATCTTCTAGTCTTTTGAATATCGCTCTGATGTGCGTTTTATGTTCTTGAACATTCTTACTTTTGACTAGAATGTCATCTAAATAGGTGGTACCAAACTCAAGGCCTGCCAGCATAGTGTCCATCACCTGTTGAAACAAAGCTGGGGCGACCTTTAAGCGAAAGGAAGCCTATTTAGCTTATAAATACCTTTATGTGTATTTATACACAAATATTTTGAGCATTCGTCACTCACTTTAATCTGCAAGTATCGTCAGACAGGTCGATTTTTGAAAAAATCTTCCCACCATTCAATTTTGAAAAAAAATATCTTCTGGTGAAGGTAGTGGATAACTGTGATTTTTAAGGCAATCATTTAATCCTGTTGAAAAATCTACGCACACTCTTATTTTTCTGTTTTTTTTTCTTAACATAAACTGTGGGCGAGGCCTAATCTGAATGGTCAACCTTATATATCACTCCCATTTTTTCAAGTCTTTCCAATTCCTTATTAATTGTGTCTAAGGAGGAAAAGGAACGTTTCTCTTAGGTTTTGAAAATTGGTTTCACATTTTCCTTGAGTTCAAATTTGACGTCCGTCTTAGTACATAAACCCAATCCCTCAGAAAAAACTCTGGGATATTTTTCTTTTAATTCATTTATGAATTTTTCATTTTTAATATTTTTTTGTTTTTCTGCACTGTTTATTACATTGCAAAATGAGTTAATCGGGAGTTCAAACAAATCAAAAAGTACTATCCAGTCTATTCCAAAAGACATGAATTAATCCCTTGGATTACATACACTTTCATTTTTGCAGTCTTGCCACATAACGAAATATTGCACTTTAATTCTCCCATAAAGTTTAATTTCTTTCCTGAAACCCCTCTAGCAGTTTTTTTTTGGTTTCAGATAATTTAAGTCTTCCAATATTTTTCCATGTTTGTTCATCAATGATGCTTATGTCTGAACCAGAATCCAATAGGAAAATAATTGTATGATTATTTATATGTACATCTACGTACTTTCTATTTTTTACCCTTCTGAATTTCTTTTTTTCTGATAATACCAGGCTTACATCTTGTAATTTCCTTTTCTTTAAAACATATATTTATGCCCTTTTTTTTTCGACAGAGAATTTATTTTTGTACCAACACACGTCTTTGGTATGATTTTTTTTCCACACGATTGGCAGAATTTATTTTTGTACCAACACGTGTCTTTGGTATGGTTTTTTTTTCCACATGTCTCACATTTTTCTATCTTTTTGGCTTTTGGAGTTGAGTTTTTTTCGTGTTTTTTAGCAACACTTTTCTCCTCAATTTGTATATTATCCTTTTTACGTTTATGAGACGTTGGCATTCTTTCGTCACCCTTTGTAATGTTATTTTCGAGTCTTGCTCGACCATTAATATTCTCCAGACCTAATTTCTTTATGTTTAGGATCAGTTAGTCCTTGAAATATTTGAATTAGGCAAACTTGAATACATCTTTGGTTTTTCAATTTTCTTCTAACTAAATTTTCAACCAGATTAAAAAAATTCACTTTATTTAAAAAGATAGTTAAATGTCATACAAAATCAGTGTCTATCTGCTTTTAATCTGTTTGAAACAGCTGTTTTTGTCCATTTGTCTGAAATTTGAGAATTGTATCTGTTATCAGCAAAATGAATTCTCCACAGAATAAATTTTGATTTAGAAGTTATATTTTAAAATAAGTATGTCACTTCTAGAATTATGAATAGTTTTATCAAATTAGTGTCAACTTGTGTTTTTATTATTGTTTTAATTGAAACATTTTGACTATTTTCTTTGCTAACAAAGAATGTTGAATTTGTATTCAAAATGAACATATCTTGAAGATGTAGGTCAGAATAATATTGGTCCAAGAAAATAAGTAATATCAACCAAGAGTCTAAAAATATTTTTAAAAGTTGAATGTTTCTGCCTTGAAGTAACTCTTGAACTAAGTGCAAAACTTACTAGTCGGCATTTGACTTGTTAGAATTTCACAATAATTTAACTTATTGGATACTTCACTGTTGTGCAGAAGTTGCAGTATCATTTATTCAAAATTATATTATATAATTTTTTGCCTTATTTATATTTGTCACAGTGATTCCTTTCATTTAAATTACTCATATGTTCTCACCATAGTTGTTGATTCTATCTTATTAGGAAGAAGAAAAAATCTTGCAATATTATCTTGGACATATGGAATTGGTAAGTGGTTGTTCAGTTGAAGAACTATCTGCTATGCATTGGGACCAGCATGAAGCATTTCCACAACTTGGAAACTCCAGCATCCTTTTATCTCAGGGAGCTTCCCAGTTGCTTAATCTTCTTTCAGAAGATTTAGACATTCAATATAATGTTGAGGTTAGTACACAGTTCTTATTTTTCTCTTCATCTTTGCTCATTGATTCTTAAAGATGTTTAAAAAGATGTATGTCCACTAAATTCTTTAGAAATTTTTTGTATCTTTTCTGTAAACTTGCTGAAATTATTGACTCCTAAGTATCAGGTTTAGTTAGAAAGATTTTAAATTTTTTACAATATCTTATATCTGCTGGGTTTTTGCTATTTGCTATAGGTTATTTTTGAAAAATATTTTTCTAACAAAAAATAGACACTTGCTTTCATTTTAAACTTTTAAACAACCTTTCTTTAATAAAAGAAAAAATATCAATGTATGTTTTCATATTTTTATAATTTAAGTACTATCTTAATATATACAGAATGCAATGAATAAATTGTCTTCTAAATTACACAAAAATGAAAATAACACTGCTATCTCATTTTAACAGATATATTTACAAAAATTACACAAAAATATTTTGTAAATTTATTCAATAAAATCGACATTAGCTTCAATCACGGCCTCCAGATCATTTCAGAATCTGGACGGTCTCATCTGGATGGTCTCCTTGTTTAAGTTGGTCAATGCTGACTTAGTCTTTGCCTTCAGCTACTCTTTGGTGTTACAAGGAGTTTTGTTGGCCTCTCTTTCAACTGCATCCCACATGTAATAATCAAGGGGGTTGCAGTCTGGGAAGTTAGCTGGCCAGATGTAAGAGGTGATGTAGTTGCAGAAATTGTCTAACAGCCATGACTGGGTTCTCCTGCTTGTGTGACATGATGGAGAGTCCTGTTGTCACACATAAGATCTTCCAACAACCACCCTCTTGACCCAGGGCAGTACTACCTCCTCAGGGCACTTGATGTAAGTCTCAATGTTGAGTCTGAGGCCCTCACCAACAAATTCAGGGGTCCTTTTCTTATCAGAACAAGTGAGTTTTCCAAGCTGCCATACCTTTGTAATCACCATTAGACCCATCCAACTCATCACTTTACTTAGATTGACACCCAAACACTCTGAAATGTTCGTATTGGAGCTTCTGATGCAAATGCCAAGCAGTACAGCATGCTGTTTCCAAATTTCTGGTGGAGTAAATCATATCATAGTGCCTTTTTTTTCTCACAGACAGTACCCAACTGACAATACTACTCTATGCAGTTGACAAAATCCAAAACAATTATGTATGTGCAAAATTAAAAATATAAAATGGTGACAACTTACACATTGCATTCGATACTACATAATATGGTTATTTGTGTATCCAGTTTTTGTACACACAAAGTTTAAAAGGATTATAAACAATACTTTTTTTAAGTATTGTAAGCTGTGTGTATTTTTTAGATATTTTTTTATAAAAATGTTGTTTTATTTAGGTTGTGAAGATTGATTACAGTGGAATGGGTGTTATAGTTCATGCTTCATCTGGTGGTGTTTTCAAAGCTGATAAGGTTAGTTTCCAGTCATTAGAGACTTGCTTGAAATATTTTTCTTAAATGAGGAAAATGCCTATTATTATTATTTTGAGATAATAATTGCTGACTAATGTTCTGAGATTTATATTTTTAAATAGTATCACAAAGAGACATGTTATAATTATAAATTATTGGGTAATCCACATTTTGAACAGAGGATTTAAGAAAATTTATCAGTGTTCATGTAATTATAATTTCTTGTATATTATGATTGAGTTTTCATGGCTTATTTCTTCACTTATGTACTGGATTCACATTTTCATGAAAGTTTTTAGATGACCTTAAACATTTAGAAATTGTTTATTTTTTATCATTTTTTTTTCCTCGATGAATTTACAAGGTTTTTTTTTTGGTTATATTGATATTTATATAAATTATTATATATTATTTCATCATTATTTTTAGGTTAATATATCTCATAATTAATCTAACATTTTTATTTGTCATTCTACCAATGGTATTTTGCATTTATTTTTCCATGAATTTTTATGATTTTCATATATAACCAATAACAATATATTATGATATTATTACAGGTACTCGTTACTGTACCACTTGCTGTGCTACAGAATGATATTATTGAATTTGTACCTCCTCTTCCTGCTGAGAAAACAAAAGCCATTAAGTCTTTAGGGGCTGGAGTTGTAGAAATGGTTTGTTCATAATTTAAAAACTAATATCTACACTTTGTATCTTTATTTAGTCCATATATCTAATAATATAATCTAATATTTAGTCTGCTCTGTATTTGTCTTTCACAATGAACATGTTTACTCAAAACTTATATATCTCATAATTGCTTCCCTTAAATTAAATCATTATAATTTGAAACAAGAATTACCATATTTTTTAATTAATTTAAATAATTATTGATATGATTTTGTTTCAAATTCCAAAGAGAGGCAGAAGCAAAGAAATATATTTTATTTATATGTCATCAAAACCAAAGTAAATTGTTGCTAAGCTTATTATTGTGACTTTAAGAGATCTTTCTGAGAAATGATGCTAGCAAAAAGGGTTTATTTACATTATTTACATTGTTCAGACTGTTGTCCTTTATTGCCATATTCATGACGTTTAGATGATTCTAGTTTCATGTGCCATGCCTCTTCCGGATGTTTCAGTTATCTTCCTTTAACTCAACTGCCATAATCAGGTGAACTCACAACTCTTTGAGTCAAGTTATTGGATCCAACCATCGCTTTTATCCACTGAGCCATGTGCCCTTGAGAACATCAGTGTATGATGGGACGTTGGGACTTATAAACTTAATGTCTCAGTAACGTTTTTTTTTACTAGAACTCATATTGCAATTTTGTTGTTAATGCTTTTCAATAGCACACTGTATTACTGGTTCCCATATTGTATTCATGTCTATGCGTGAGCAGCTTAGGAGATTTTTGTGGCCTAGCATATGTGTTGATTCCTTAAGTTTTTATATTTTTCAGTGATGTTCTCTGTTTATTATTTCAACCTCATCACACAGGAGGCGGTGATCTCACTTTTTCCTCCCCTTGATTTTTCTATTTCCCCTTTATGATGTTTTTGTAGTCTTGCCTTGCTTCTTCTTTATATTTCTTACCACAGCTGCATGGGATGACGTACACACAGTCCTTAGTTATGTTCTCCTCTATGGAGGGGCTTTCTTACTCAGAAGAAGTGTCTGCGAAGTGTCAAACCACTTTTGAAAGTTGTCCTGATGTTATATGGACCACACATCTTTTTTATTTTCTCTAATAATCCCTTCACATATGGTAGGCAGACTGAAGCTGTTTTCTGAGTGCTGTTATCCTCTTGTAACCTTCTATCCCAGTTTGCCATATACCCAGGGTAATTATTACATTGTAGGGTACTGTTTATACTGACCATTTCTTGATCATATGTCTCTGGGTTGCCACATGACTTTTGCTCAATGTTGTAAGCAGCGTATGATCCCTTGTGTGGGTGGTGGGAATTGACCCAAAGAGTTATGAGTTCAATACCTGTCTATGCTAGTGGTGGGCAAAAACATGGAGAGTTGAGTTAAAGGTAGATAATTGAGACATCCAGAAGAGGCATGGCACATGGAACTAGAACAATCTACTCCAGTGGACGAAATAAAGGGTTCAATTCGAAATTCCAATCACATGAAGAAGGCCAGAGCGTACAAGAGACAAAACATTGTAAATATGGCAATAAAGATGAGGACAACAGTCCGAACAATGTAAATAATTACAATACCTCATCTCAGAAATATAAACAAATAAAGATATTTTTATCACTTATTGTTACTAAACTTAATGTAAATGTCTTAAAAGGTAAAAGGTATTTTTCAGTAGCTTTATTTTATTTCATTTTTAAAAAATATTTTTAGGTTGTCTTGCAATTCAAAAGAAATTTCTGGAAAGAAAAAGTAAAAGATGTTGATGTCTTTGGTCATATTGCTTCAGATGAAAGTAGCCGAGGTCTGTTTAGTGTATTCTATGATCTCTCTAGAGTCCATGTAAGTAAATTATATTTTTTTACCTTTTAACTGTTTTTTGTTTATTAATTATAAGCAGAATATTTGGGAAATCTGTGAAATGAAATGAATGAATTTTAATGATCCAAACAAAGGCTTTATGAAGTTTCTTCTCAGTTTTATGTTCTGATCATGAGCCCTTTATAAAAATATTTTATCAATTACCGTGATTCCTTATAAAAGAAATGACTGTTCTAGTTTCATTAAATATTGATTGCAGTGGTCAAATATCTTCATGTGCATATCTAAAATGCAACTGCAGTTTTTCTGACTGTATGAACAAATTGTAAAAAAAATATCTCTTTTCAACTTCTTGAGATACTTTTCCACAAATACGTTGTAACTGAGCCTTTATTTGCTAATTCACTCTAATTTATAAACTCCTTTTTGTACCAGTTGAAATAAATGATTGTTCACAAACCAGTATGCATTACTAACTCAAATTGTTTTAGATTACTTTCAATTCATCTTACAAGTTTTCAATTGGATTCAACTTTGAACTCTGTAAAAGCCAAAGTAAAACTTTTATATTTTTGAAGATATTTTTGGACTAATTTAGAAGTATGTTTTTCAAAACTATCATGGATAAAACTGTAACCATAGTTCAGATTCAGATTTCTAATAGACACTTTCAAGTTGACATCCAATATTTCACAAATAATCAACAGTAATTTTCTCTCTTGAACTTTACAAGGTTTTATAGAGTTGACTTAAAGAGATCATATCCACTGTCTGAATTGTAGGCTGAAATAATCTTGGTTTTAATTTGTAAATAATTTTTAGATGTTTTCTCTTTTATCCAAATATAAGGATATGTCATGTAATTTCCAAAAGTCAAAAGAAATTTCCACATTCAGCAGGAAGGATTTATTTGCAGATTAAAAGGATACTACTACCTACACTTTCCATGGAAGCAGAATTTATAACAAGTTCATCTGCCTTGGGCTTGGCTGGCAATGGTTTATTAAAATTAGCTAAAACAATTCAAATTCAAATAAAAAATAGTCCAGCCACCTACAAAAAATGACCATCAACAATAACATCACATGACACAAAAAAGCTTCCACAGACCAAAAGTGAGCTGCCTAAATTTTCTAGGAAAATAAAACTTATAGCAAATTTTTCTTTCTTGTGCTTGAATGTCGATGATTGATTCAAATTTGTTGAAACAGTTCAAGTCAAGAGAGTCTTAACCAACTTCATTGTGTGGTTGGTTGATTGCGTAGCATTTTCACCATAAAGGAACTCTTAATGTTAAAACAATTTTGTACATAATGATGTGAATTATTATAGCATGATTGAAATTACCAACCTTGATTCTTCTGGAAATAAGTATTAGTATTTATTACTTCATATTCAATCATACATGGAAAAAATATAATTTTCCTCTTAACACTTTTATTAAGCCATAAATTTTAAAAATTTCTTTTTGTTTAACAATAATTTCAGTAAATAGTATATATATTGGCTAATGATTGCTTGTATATACTGTTTTGCTTTTTCTTTTGTATGCAGGTTGTCACCAATAATAGTTCTTTTTAAGATAAGTTGGTTTCGCAGGGATCATACAGGTCATTGAAACCTTAAAAAGTCCTGGAAAATTGGCAGGGCTCTTTACCAGGGCTTAAAAAAGTCCTGGAAAAACAGCAATAATCCAAAAGATCCTTGAAAAGTCCTGGAATTTATTCCTTTAAGAAAAATGTTTTTTTTTTGTTTTTTTTTTTTTAGTTGCCAGTAATATTTCGCAACGATTGCAAACAGTGGTTTGTTTCCTTGATTAGAATTAGTTTTTGACCTCATAGTTAATTCTGTACCGGGGAAAATGTGCCTTTGAAAAAATAAGAAGAATGTTATTTTTAAAGTTTGCAGGTTAATAATGACCTATCTCTAGCTTTTGTTGTGTGAAAAAATGATGAATATATAAAAACTTATTTGGCTTTTATTGCTTGGCTTTATATTAAAAGTTCAATCTGTTGCTTCATTTTTGTATTTCTGCCATAGATGGCTAGAAAATGTACAAACATGTGGTTGATTCCTAGACATTTGACCAGATGTCATCAAATTTATGACTTGAAATTTAAAAAAAAAAAAGAAAACAGAAAAATATTCCCAGACCACAACTAATTTTATGAAAACTCTAGAAATTCAAAATTGTAGGATTTAGTGATTATATCAGTTAAAAGCATAAGGCTTTGAGGAAAGCAAATCATGTTTGGGGTTTTTTGTTTGTTTTTTAATCGGACCACCTCTACCTGAAAATCAGCTCTGAATTGTAACATACAAAACTCAATAAAACAAAAATATTATTTAATTTCAGATGCTTTTAGTTGCTTTTATGAATATAGATAATATTGTCTGAAGGCAAAAACTTTTTCAATGAAAAATGAATTTTTAAAACAATTATTTTTTGTTTCTTGAATTATTTTATCATTTTTACATTAAACTTGTTAAATATTCTAAAATTAGTGAAAATGAAGTACAGTTTAGTCAATTGTATTATTAAGTAGATTTATCTTTACAGATTATAAATTGTATAGCTGGTTACAATCAGCAGACCACCACTGTATGAAAAATATAATTTCATATGGCTTTTGTGTCCATAAAAGGCTGTAATTCAAATTTACTGAAGACCGGAAACAGCATTAATACAATAAAATGTGATGTTATTACTAAGTGTTGTTCCCTGCTGTTACAGCCTTTATTTCTTTTCCACTTTTTTTTATTTTTGTGAATTTTTTGTCTGAAACGTGTGGAAAGTTAATTTGATTTTACAATTTCAACTGAGATAAACAAAATAATAAAAAAATACTTTGATCTTTCCTCATCATAATAACATAAACGTTTAGACAAATTATTTTCATCAATTTTAAGGCCCTTTTTCACCATGCTATGATCTTTTTAGCATGATCATGAAACTGTTAAGAAGATTTGTAAAGGAAGAGCACACTAAAAAAATAATTATGTTTTCCAAACTGAATGAATTTGTAAAAATTTTGTCAAATCCAAACATGCATAAAGATGCTGCAAAGATTGAATGTGGATTTCTGGCAGATAGGGCTATGCAAAATTTATTCAAACAAGGAAATGTGCCAACAAAAGAATTGCAACAAAGACAATGTTCACCGCCATCAATGAGAAACTTCTGGCAAAGTCTACCCTTAGATACCATACGCATTTGTAAGGTCACTTGCATGGCTGAACCCTGGTTCCATTTGTAAAAAAAAGATTTTCCACAGAAGACAGTCTAAAAAGCTGTCTTTCCCACATGATGGGCAGAAAACAAGTCAGCAATGATGACATCATCAGTTAGTACAAAGAGTTCAAAGAGGAGAATGCTGGAAATATTGCTTTCAAGAACTTCAGCAAGCATAAAGACCATCTTTGTTCTACTCTTCTTTGTCTAGCAACAAAGAATTTCAAAAATTGTGGAAAAATTGTTTGCAGATTGCTGGTACTCTCTCATGGACAGGCCTCAGTGGAGAGAGATTTGTCAGTCAATAGAGAAATTTCCACTGACAGTATGAAATGCCAGATTCTGGTTGCACCGCACGTTATCACGGACTATTTGGCAACAGTTGGAAGTGTTGGGAATGTTCCCATGACTAAGGCTCTTCTGTTCAGTGCTTCCTATACTAGAACAGCATACAACAAATACCTTGAGGCTGAGAAGAAAAAAGCAGGAAGAAGCTGGACAAAAACAGAAATCCATGCTTATGAAAACTGATGAACTGTAGACCAAAAAACACAAGCTTGGAAGCTACACACAAGATTTGCTCAAGTCAGCTAATGCCATGCAAATATCTGCAAAGCACAAATCCATAGAGATATCAAAATTGGAAGAGATGCTGAAGGCTAAACTAAATGAACTGAAAAAATGTTAACATCATTGAGTTCTGTGCAATATGCAACAAAAGCCATGAGTAGTAGGAGTAACTAAATTGTGAAGTCTTTTGTGAAAATTGCTATATGTTCATTAAAACCATTATACTTGACTTCACAGGAAATTTGCAGCAGTCAAGAACTTTTGTGACGTTCACAAACCATGAGTAGTTTAGATAACTGAAATGTGTAGCAGTAAGAATTAAAGTATGTAATTCAAAATTTTCTAATGTAATAGAACTCCAAACTGTATAGAATGCTGAACAAAATGTGTTAACATAAGCAGGTCAGCATTCACTTGTGTTTTAGCCTTCAACACTTGTATTTCTTCACTGCTTTCAACTGATCTCTGTGACATGAATTATTGGAACCAGCTATAACTTTTCTTTGAATATCTCATGTATCAAACTATTAAAAGACATATCACAAAGTTTGTGTTTTGGAAATTGATGATCATTCATTTTGTGTGCGTGCATGCATGCCCAAGTTTCAGTCCTTGTTGAAACTTCTTAACATAGTCTTGGAAAATCCCGGAATTTTTTTTTTTACACAGATCTGTGTGAATCCTGGCAGGGTTCCCACACGTCTTGGAAAACCTGGAAAATAAAATGTAAGTTTTCCAGGACTAGAAACCCTGGAAAAATGGATGTTTTTTCTCAAAAAAATCTGGAAAATGTAATTTAAATAGATAAAATCGCAAAAATTAATGTTGTTACAGTTAACAAATATACTCTGGATTATTTTAAACATAACTATATTTTACATTCAAAATTGGATATTTTTTAAATGTATTTAAATATAAACGCGTTTCAAATTTCAGGATGAATATAAAAGATTATTTCCCTTGAATTTCGGATTTCATATTTCAGTTTCAATTTTTTATAGTAATCAAAACCCATGCCTGAAAAATATGAATACAAATTATTGTTCATTTACGATTTTTTGTTAGTTTACAAAACGACTTGTTTGAGGAATAAAATAGTCAATTTTTACTGAAAATATTAGGTGAATTGTAAATGCACGTATGAAGCTTTTAATAGAACATTTTCATTCAAAATTTTGTTATTAAGTACCAAAAAAAATAGTTTTATTCAAAATAATGTGTACTTTTGTTTTTTCAATTTATTTGTTTAACTTTAAATTAGTGCTTCTAGTGTTAATGTACAATGTAATTTAAGTAAAAACAAATCTATGTAGAAACTGTTTTTACTTGTTTAAAACAAGACCTGCAAGTTGTCAAATTTATTTTATTGAATTCTAATATAGAGATTATTTACTGAAGATATTTCTGCTAAAATTATTTCTTAAAACAGAGTGGGTGGTAGGACTACAAAAGGTAAGAAACAGACAAAAGCTCACCAAAATAATTTAATAACACAATTATAAAAATTTTATTTTTATATTTAAATTGCTTAATTATTAATAATGTTTGCTAGTGTTTTTTTTCTTCTTGGCAGCATATTTCTAATTTCATTTTTAATGGATAACATTTTTTTTCTCGTACTTCGTAAAAAAAATAAATGAGGTTGTAGGACAAAACTTGAAAAACAGACAAAAGATGGTAGACATTACTTTTAGGGGGAATAACTTATTTGAAACTAATTAATGCTGGGTATAAGGTTAAAACAACTTTTTTTATGTAAATAAATGATTTATAATGTTTTCAGGTTGAAAAATAGTACCTGATAAAGTATCTTGGGTTCAGTTGAAAACAACCTGATTTAACGGATAGAATAATAATGGATTATTACAAGCTTCCTTGCATTGGCATAAATGAATTGAAATCAAGATTTCAAGTTAAATTTGCTTATATAAATAACCAAAGATTAAAAAAAAAAAAACAATGGAACATAAAGAGTAAAAATTTGACTTGGATTTACTGAAAATAAAGTGCTACACATGAAACTTTAGCAAGAATGCTGAGCTTAGTCTACTAAAGATTACAAAACTATAAGTAGACTCTATTTATAGCTTTGTAATCTTTCTTTTAATTCAAACAAAGTGGTATCTAGAATGGTCTTTTTTTTTTCTGCAATACTTTTGTGGTAGGCATTGGATTTTGCAACCAGTGTAAAGTCCTGTTTTTTTTTTTTTTTTTTTTTTTTCAGTTTTCTGCCTTGCTTTGCCTGCAATATTTTTTGCTGACATTATTTTTTGTCTCTTTGGTCACTTTTGTGATTTCAGAGCTGAGGTCTTTCCTTTTACTATTATTTGCAGATTCTTTTTTTCTTTTTCTTTTCCTCCTCCAAATAAATAACATACATCATTCTTGAAGATTTGCAATGCCAAATTAGGGATTTAGGTATTATTTTTAATGTGCCAACTGACAATGAATCTTATATAAACCTTAGAGAAATCAGTGTCTTCTTTCAGGTTTCCTACCAAAATGTCCTTGTTTACAGAGTATCCACTTTCAACTGCTGCTTGCCTATGTGAAAAGGTTTTTCAGTAACTTCCACAGACTCATGTATTCTACTTTACGTCTTAAAAGATTTCCTAGAAAATGTGTCTACTCAACAGGAGCTACTTCTGTAGTTAAACTCTAGAAACTCTTGTTTATTTTCTTGGGCTGTCTCAGTGATTAATCTTTTATATTCAGCAAGAATTTGGTCACATTGCTGGGCAGTATGCCTTTTGGCATTCAGAAGCAGTTGAAGGAGCTTTTCAAATTTTAATGACAGTCCTATGTTCATTAATCATAAACAAAGGATCAAGAGATCTTAAATGTCTTACTGTTGCATAATTCAGTGGACATTTTGCCAGCAGATTTATTGTTGTTGTAGAGAGGAAGGTTAGACATTCTTTCCTGAACTGTGTGCCCAGCAGTTGGTTGCCAGGAAGATTTTCAAAGGATTCGATAACAGCATGTTTGGTGGTAAAGTCAATGTCAACCTCTTTTAATGGTACATAAAGATCTTTGATCAGCACATTGATTTTTGGGCAATTGTTGATCTCGATTACATCTCTCTTCATGAAACATAAAAGCAAATTAACCAGGATGGGTTTAAGCTCTTTTGCCAAAAAAGGCACCATGGGGGCATCCTTTTGAAAGCCTTCAAGGAAGGGTCTGAGTAGCCTTGCCACATAGATAAAAAAAAAAAAAAGCTAGCTTGGCTTCAAAAAGGGGTTACCAAACAGCCTTTTTTTTTTTATGAGATAGGACATTGATGTCGGTTCCAGCTTGCTGAATTTTTGTAATGGTTCATAAATTTCTGTACAGATGGCCATATCGCAATGGCCTGCTCTGCCACTAGCAAATCTTCTATCCACCTGGGAGCACAAAATTTGAGAGGGAATTTTGAGGTTTTTGTGATTTCAATGAAATCATTCAGCCTAGCTGGTGTATCATGAAAAATCTGCCAAATGGTTCTTAGGATTTCATCAATCTTCCATCCTGTCTCCTTGCCTTGTTGGAAACTCCCATGAACTGTATGTAGACCACAGCTCCAAAGGTTTATGGTCCTCCTTGATTCTGTCCTCCTCAAATAATCTCATAAACTTCCAGTTTATTTGTAGGCCATCTATAGATATTTATAGGAGCTTGTTTGGATCAAGTGGAGAGAGAATACTTCATTCTCTCAACAAGCACCCCTGCTTGGGTATGTCTCATAAACTTAGAGTCCAGATAATTTACCTCTATCTTCTTTTCACTCTCACTCCAGTATTGCACAATTAAGTCTATTTGCACATTCAGGTATTCGTCAAATGAAATGATGTAGCAATTTGATTGTCTGATGCTTTTTATAAGTTCCTCTATGAAATAGGATGCCAAGCCACAACAAATCAAGTATGTGCTTTGGTTGCACTACATGCAAATTTTTTGGCAATGTTACTGTCAGGAAACTTCTGAGCAAACAACATGCCCAAATCTAAACAGGAGTTGAAAGAAAAATGAGACTGGGCCATTTTTAGCATCCAGTGGATCTCTGCTTCCAAAACTGCTTCACTTTCAAAAGTTGATGGTTGGACTTCTCTACTCTCTTGATTCTCTGTCATTGTTGCCTGCTTAAGAATTCTAGGTGGAAAGTTGATTGAAGAAATCAGTCATTCGTGGTTCACTGCTTTGTGTTCCTGTCCTTTGGCATGGCTTTTAACAGTACATAAGTCCATGTTGCTAATATCAAATGATTTTTGGCATATCTTACAATATACACAGTGAACATCACTTGCCATATGTCTTATCCAGTTCTTCAACTCAGGATTGTCATTCCATTCTTCCTTAAACTTGACATTTATGTCCTGACTAATATTTCTGTAAATAAATTAAGTTGAAATAAATTATCAAAATTAATAATTATGTTATCATACCCAATAACATCATTCAACATTAGTACTATTCAGCAAGTTGATAAAAAGGTTTAACAACTATTTTTAGTTATAAATATCTTAGAAAAATCATAAATTCTGTTTACAACAAAGATTATCTGGGAAAATAAACAGTATTTGAAAAGGGATATTCACTTAAAGAAACTTTCTTCTTTGATATGTATCCTTGTACAACACTTTAATACTTGTTAAATTTCTTCCATAGTGCAAGTAATTTTATTTTTATAATGATATTTCTCTTGCAGAAGTATGATATTTGATTATGATTTTTTCTAGTAGTCTAATAATACCTACTTTTTGGCAGATATGATTTGATTTTTCTCAAAGTTTTTTTTAATCTCTACATAATTCAAATATTTTCTGAGTTGTTGTTCATGTTTAGTTTTGTTATTTTTTTTATATTAATTTTTTACTTTCAGAAATCTGGAAAAGAAAGTCATATATTGGTGACATATATTGCTGGCAATGGTTTAAAGAAAATGTTTGGAAAGACAAGCAAAGAAATTGTTGATGCATGCATGAAAGTGTTGTATAAACTTTTTCCTGAACAGGTCAGTTGAAACATCTAGGATTAAAATATATCTTGCTTGTTATTCTCATATATACTGTGTGCATATGTGTGTATATATGCACATACATACACTCTCTTCATCTTTCTCTGTTAAGCAGTTCATCAGGAAACCATCCAGCTTTGGGAAAAGCTCTTAAAGAATGCAAAACAATACTTCAGCCTGAGCTCAAGAAGATGAAAAATAATTGGTGGTGTAACATCTAGAAAGAAGTTCAAAGTGCTTCTGACAGGTGTGAGTCAATGACCTTTTATAGTTTTCTGTATCCAGTTTTTGGTCCTAACATCTCTGTTGTTTCACAGAAACCCCTTGATAGCAAAACAACTATTAAGGATATTGAAATAATGGACAGAACATTTTATCAACCCATTCTTTAATCCATCTACTGTTGTTAACACAGTGATAATTTGCTACAGAATGAGTTACTTCATCAGATAAGCATTGTGCCCACTCTTCAAGAGGTAAAGCTCACTATCAGATAAATCAACATGGATTCAATGGCATTCCAGTGGAATTAATGCATCTTGATGGGGACTTGATCTGGTTTGGGAAGGCACTCCCATGCCTCAGGAATGGATTGATAAAGTCTTGGTTTCAATCTTTAAATGTAAGGATTCTGTGTGAAAAAGCTACAAATTGTTATGAAGGCTTGTCTCACATTCAACAACTCACTTTCAGATGAGATTGTAGTGGACAATGTGGTAAAGCAAGGTGACATTTTTGCACTAACATTTTTTTCAAGCTACTTTTTGTGTTCTTATAACATGCCTTTGAGGACTGGGAGGCAGGAATCTCCTTGAGATTTAGAACATCAGAATGAGTGTTCTATCTCAGAAGGTTCAATATCAAATCCAAAAATTTTGAGTGCCTGATCTAAGATTAGCTGTATACTGATGATACAGACTTTATAGTGCACTTGGAGGAAGATTTGCAACACATAATGGGATTGCTTTTCTGCCACTTGTGATACTTTTGGACTGAGGATTAGCCTGGGGGAAAAAGATAAAAGTGGTGTTCATTCCTCTACCTGGTGGGCTCTACAAAGAAGGCAAATGTTGCATTTGATAAATTGGAAAGTACAGTTTGGTCAGATAGGAACATTACCATCAAGACTAAGTGTGCATATGGCCTGAGTCTTTTAACATCCATACTGTTCTCTTCTGAAACCTGGACAACATACTGGAGACATATAAAATGACTTGTGTGATTCCATCAAAAATGCTTGAGGCACATCTTTAACATAAAATAGCAGTTTTTGATTCCAGGCACTGTTATCCTCTAAAGATCTAAATGCAACAGCATTGGAACAATAACAATCCTCAACCAGATGCAATAGATTAGAACACATAAGAATTTCAACAGATTTCATGAACAACTTCTTTATGGAGAACTGAAGACAGGAAAGCATCCACAACATAAGGACAAAGTTTAAAGATAATTTGGAAGATAATCTGAATGCACTGCACATGGATGTGCAACATTGGGAAGAACTGACTGTACCATGGAGGCAATTTATAAGGGAGGGATGCAATGCCTTTGAGGATGAATGTCTCAGATCAAGCGTGATCTCCAAAGAGGCACTCACTCTGATTTGCCAACTAGTATGCACGGGATAGCGTACACACAGACTTTAGTCATGTTCTATGGGGGATCTTACTCAGGATAGAGATCTGTGAAGTGTCGTCCAACTTTTGAAGGTTGACCTGATGTTATATGGACTGCAGATCCTTTGTATTTTCTCTGATAACTCCTTCACATAAAGCAGGCAGACTGTTTTCTGAGTGTTGTTGTCCTCCTCTTGTACCTGCCTATCCCACTTTTTGGGGGCTGCTGCCAGGGTAGTTGTTATGTTGTAGGGTACTACTTATACTTTATACTTCTTTATAATACTTTATATTGTGTGTACGCTATCCCATGCAGCTGTGGGAAGAAATATAAAGGAGAGACAGGCCGCCCCCTTAAGGTAAGGCTTCAAGAACACCAGAGAGCTGTAACATGAGGGGAAGTGGAAAAATCAGGCATGGCTGACCACATATGAAGAGAAAAGGGAGATCATTGCCCTCTGTGGGATCAGGTTGAGATCATAGACAAAGAGCACCATTGGAAAATTCGTAAACTTAAGCAATCAGCATGTATGCTAGGCCACAAAAATCTCCTGAGCTGACCAAGTATAGAAATGAATACAATATGGGAACCAGTAATAAGGAGTGCCAGAGAAAAGCGATAATAACAACAAAAATTGCAATATGAGCTCTGGTTAAAACATATAATGATAACAGCAAAATTGCAATATGAGAACTGGTAAAAAAGACATTAGGTTTATAATACTCAGAAATTCATACACAGATGTCCCCAAGGACACATGGCACAGTGAATAAAGGTGTTTTAGTTAGATCCAGTTACAGGACCCAAAGAGTGTGAGTTCAATACCTGGTTAGGGCAGTGGAGAACTTGGAGAGGGGAATTAACAGGATATAACTGATATCTATTAGACATGGCACATGGAACTAGAACAGTCTACCCCAGTGAGCGAAATAAAGGGTTCAGTTCAACATTCCAACCACCTGAAGAAGGCTGGAGCATACATAATGTAATAAATATGGCGACAAAGATGAGGACAGTAGTCCGAGTAATGTAAATAGTGTACATAATATAGACAGAAATATAGACAGTTACATTTATTCACTATTAACCTTGTATATTTTTATATTATATTTTTCATAATGTGTATGTATAAAAGAGTGTTGAAAAATTAACCAAAAAGAATTTTTTTCTTTTTTGGAGTCCCTTCTTGGTTGGGCTGAGAACTTTTTGGTACCTTATTGTATATCTAAGTACATCACTGTATATCCATGTTGAAGTTTGTGTGTTTGTATGTTCGGACATTGCAATTAAATATAAAATCTTAGGAAACAAGTTTCTTTGCATTGATAAAAGCAAAATCTCAAATAATAGCCTAAGCTATGTCTGGTTGACTTCAAAAGTTATATGAGTGCATTAAAGAGCACAACATTCTGTTTTTAGCTAAATGAAATGATTTCTGGTAAAATGGAGAAATATTAAGTTTCCTATGTTGACATGAAGACTCACAAGACTGCCAATTGTGGCATATGTGAGATTGACCTTGGAGGTCACCAAAGTGCATAGCATTTCATTTCTAGCTGAATGAATTGAGATATTGAGTACAAAAATGTTTTATGACCTTGCAGATAAAGTCAAATTTCAACTCTGAGGTTGCAGAAGCAGAATTAATTTATGAATCATTGTTTTGCAGCTAAACAATTACATTTTGGTAAATTGATATGTGGAGGTTTGTTGTCTATTGTCTGGTTCACATTCCTTCCTGGTCTTTTGAAAAGGAGTAGAGGTTTATTCCATGTTTACTGTTTAGGATTGGGTTTATAGTTCCTTCTAAAGTCTTTATCATTCCCTTTTACTCTCAGTAGCTCTTTGAGAATTTGTGGCATTATTGCCTTGCTTGGGGTGAATTGATTATAAAAAAGAAAAATTAGAAAAAGAAGAATGAATTTGTGTTGTTGACCTCAAAAATCAATTTTGGATTAAAATACTTTTTTTCAATGAAGTTGAAAGAACTTAACCTTAAAGACTTGATATTTTTCTGGTTTATTTGCAAAATGTGCAACCCTAAAAAAGAATCCATGCAAAAATTATAAAATTCTTAGGTTTAACCTTGATTTTTAGCTGGCACATTCAATTTTGATAAAGGTTAGACTCTTTGTGGTCACCCAAAAGTTAATTTCTCAGCCAACTCTTGTCTGCTACATTCCATTCTGATGAATATTTGAACCTTGGCGTCATCCAAAGGTGTTACTTATAGTGTTATAAACTCATAGTCTTGATTTCAAGCCATTCTGATGCTCTCTTCAATCTTCAATTTATGGTTTTAATTAATAATTTGAAGCCATTTGTTTTTACCTCCCATTGATTCCAGCTTTAATTAACATATTTCTTAGTCTGACCCTTTCAATGTTGGAAGTTACAGTTTGCCACTTTCATCATCACCATCACAACCAAAAAATAAAATCATGATTAATCATAACCTTAGAGCTTAATCATACCTTTGATCCCTCAGAATATATAGCCCAGAACATGTAAATGAAGAAGTAAAATACATAGAAAAAAAAATTTTAGACTCTTTCTTTACTCTCATCATTTCATTCTCAATTCAAGCAAAAAAGCATATAAAATCCATAAGATTAAAAAAGTAAGTACTATCAATACAAAGTTTATGATTCTACCCAAATCTAACTATCCCTGACACTAAAATTATAATCCCTATCTTCAAGATGTTCAAAGATTTGGTTAGTAAAAAAATCAACACTAATAAATTAGGTCATAATTTTGATTTAAAAAATGTGAACCTAATAAAGAAAAATATTGACCACATCTTGTTACGGGGAAATATTAATGTTCTTCACATTGTAAACACATGCCAGATGCACTTTTTCATATCACCAATATTCATAAAGTCTATAATTAAAGAATATAAGATCCTGACACTTGCAGATGATATAACCTAATTAACATATTCACTTCCAAAATTTCATCATATTCACCATGCAACTGAAATACATGCCAAACACCCATCTTTAACACACATAAAAATCTCCCAATGCATACAAAAATTGTAAATGATAAAACAACCTCTATAGTAATAATAAAATTTGATCCAACACACACAAATACATCAATTCTCATTACATACCAAAAATTTCTCAATAGATAAAAACTATCTAATAATAATAAATTTATTCCAAAATTAATATAACATAAATTTTATCTGCATTTAACACATGCCCAGAATCAACTTTATGACCAACTAGAAAATTTGATATATGCACATACTTCCTATTTCTTTTTGCTATCATCTTCAGACATAAGACACAGGCAGACACTACAAGACCTACACAAAAAAATGTCCACTAGAATTCAGAAATACACACACGAGCACACACATACTA